ATAACGAATTGAGTATTGCATTAGATAAATGCACGCTTGCTGTGGAATGAGAGAAACTACATTAATGCCCTATTTTATCTTTCTTGTTAGCATCTCATTGATGTATACTACTTTTAAAAGGATAAAATCAACAACATGTTAGGAAAAGATATAAACATAGAATACCAATGTAGTTCCTCTTTGTAGTTTCCTCTTATTCCACAGCGGACGCGCATTTATCTCATGCAATACTCAAGCCATTATATATGTCGATACACATAACACACACATATATATATATATATATATACACACACACACACACAGAGCAATATTTAGGTAATTTATAAAATGATTAACATATTAAGGCTCCTGACTACTCAGCTAAGAACTCCGCGTTGACGCGACACAGCGTCGCGATAAAAATTAGAAGCTCATTCATCCTTGTTCATCTTATCTATGTCTTGGTTCATCTTTATGTCAAATAACGTACTGACAACAAAATTTTTTATTGCACCTAATTTCATTATTATGTGCTTAATCGTGCAAATGTGGCTTGTTTCGTACTTATCAAATTCGTAAAAATGACGGCAGCTAAAGTTACCTTTACATGTAAAAGCATATTTCTCACTTCTTTCAACAGCTGTCAAACTGTGTGTTTTCTACCTAAATAGGCTTTATTTCACGTGCCTTTTACAGTTATTTATTGACTAAGAGAAGGGAATAGCAGTCGTTCATTTTCATAAGTGTCTTAAAGCCATTTCAAGTGTTGTTTTGATCAAATATCTCTTTATTTGCAAATTAGATGCAATAAATTTTACTGTGTCGCTTCTCATCTATGATGTCACAATGCCAATATGGCCGCGGTGATTACTCAGGAATTTTAATATTTTACATAATATTTCATTAAAATTTATGATTCTTATGTTTGTTGTTCTTTATACTGTATTTTGAGAATATTTTGCATATCTAATCTAGCCAAATATCAGTTGTAAATAATTTTGTAGATTGCATAAAAGGTAAAATACCCTGACTATAAATTTGTAGATTGCATAAAAGGTAAAATACCCTGACTATAAATTCTGCTTGAACAATAGCAGCGGATACATTGAGTACAATGCCACCACGTGCATTTCTACCGATTTCAGGCTTGAGTTCCCAGCTTTGAAAAGGGATATTGATAAATTTTAAAGTAGCAAGACCATGGACCCCTAATCTGCCGGTTCTAAATGTAATAGTTTGCTTTTCCTCGTTATATTTGATATCGTGCACATCCTGCGTTGGCCATATCTTTTTCTCAGGTATCCAATGAGCCACTAATGGTGGTTCAAACCAGATAATAGAACTGGGAAGTCTATAAAAAATGAAACTAGTAAAATGAATATACAGATACTATTTTACTATTGTAAAAAAGATAAAAAGTTTTTAATGCAACAATAATATATAATTTATAATTTTAACTTATTATATGAGATATGCGTTCTATGCATAATTATTTATAATGATAATTATTTATGACGATTATAAACTTATTGTAAAGACATTTTACTTATTTATATTTTGCTATTGTTGTATTGTTGTCGCAAATAATTTATAAAGCGAATATACTTTAAAGTTACTAGAGCTAATGCCTCCATTGCAGCTTCAAGTGCTTTCATTTCTGCCTCGATTACTTCTGGTGTTCTTTCAGAATCAGGTGCTGGAGGCGGTGCCTTATATGGCTTGCAAAACGGTACAAATTTTAATACTTTGGGAATTTGCACTGTGAAGAAGGTAATATTAATATTTAATGACATATACATCATAAGTTAATAGAATTAATTAAACTATTAATTCTAATTAATAATTATTCACGTGTGGTAAGCGTAATATTTTTTGGTAAATTCTTAGGTTGCGGTGGTTGATAAACTAAATCGATGTGTAATGCACCACCAAGTATTCTATATTTTCGTAAATTTATCTCAGTTTTTTCGCAACGTGTGAAAAGTAGTTTTCTAATTTCCTTTCGAGTTTCATCTGGAAATAAGAGAAATAATAATATTTTTCCTCTGACACTCTCTAGAATTTTAATATTACGAAATTTCTTTTTTAATATTGCAATATTTCTTTAATACTTTTCAGATAGCATATTATAAAATAATGAACATTTTATATAAATTTTTTAAAATTGAATGGTTTTAATTTATTCAATTTTAAAGAAAAGTCTAATAAGAAAAGTTTAAGAAATACACCCTCTCTTTGCAGAATAATTTCATCAGGTGTAGGCAAATACGGTAATTTTTCTGGTTCCTGTTCCGATTCTGGATGTCTCACTCCTTGAACAGGCTTTCTTTGCCCTTTTCTTTCGGGCTTTGTAGGTACCAGGACTGGTGGATTTTCCATTCTCTCAAGTATAGCTTTTTTTTCTTCTAATCGAAGACGACGACCTTCAACCTGCTCCTCGCGTATCTTCAATTTTGTATTATACTCATTTTGACAATAAGTATAAAAATCTGCAACATATACATGAAATTCAAGAAAAAAGAAGAAACTTTAAGAAACTCACACTTTTCACAGAAGGCTTGTCTATAATATGTTTATATTTTTTTTTAATGCAATTTCTTTATATAATATTTTTATATAATGTTTTATATAATGTTTTGTATATTACAATAGAAAATATTCAATTAATAATTTTATAAATTGTAAATTATTATATCCTTTTTATAATCTTCTTTTAAAAAATTTTTTAATTTTAACGTATATGATTATTTTACAACTTAGCGTAAAATAAATTAATTTCAGTTCTTTCGCAGACTAATAAATTAAAATGAAATAGAATTTATATAGATATTGTAATTTTCACCTATGGTATACAGATTTTCATATTCTTCTGGCAATTTTGGTATGATGCACGAAGTTGCGGAATCAGAGTAGTGATTATACTTTACCCATAGTGCTCGTATTGCCAAACAATAACAATCAATGTCTGCAGGCATTTTAACAGTCAGCTCTATTTCTTCAAAAAGGACTTCTATAGGTTTTCTATGGGAACAATTCAATTATTATTAAAAATATTAAATTAAAATGATATAGCATATTAATATTGTGACTGATATTCTTAGGAATATATGTGAAATTATTAATACATATATTGACACATACATTGATACATACAACATTAATACATACCGATCTTTTTCGGTGACTTGCTTGAGTGGAATTGGCGATTTTATTAAAGTCCAAATACAAATACTGATTTTATCAGAAATATTAGTATATCTCGCCGTTCTTATGCTCTCGCGGATCATATCCTTTTCTATTTTACGCAAAAGAGAATAACACGCTGCGTCTATCCATTCTTGAAGCTTGTTTCGAAATTCCTGTCTATTCTATTAAACAAATAAATTACATAAATTTTAACTGCTTTATAATACAAAAATTACACAGTTAATAGTAAATCGAATATTATTGCTTACTATCTTGCATTCATTTATATAACTGATTGAGCTTGTTAAAGAAAATTGTATTATTTCGTCGAGTTTTGTCAATAACTGTAAAAAAATATTTAATGGTTAGTTCATAATTAATAAAGAGAAAATGTTTTTAAATATTTTCTCTTTCTATTTAAAAATTAATTGTAATATAAATATAATAAACATATTTAATTACTTGCTAGATTTTTATAAATTAAAAATAATCTCTTAATCTACATTAAAATTAATATTCAATTGTATTAGGATCACTAACTAACTCATTTCTTTTACATACATTAATAATTATATTACATTTCGCAATAAGTTTGTTCATATCAATTTTCTCATCTTCCATCGACCATAAAAATAGAAAAGTATTAATTTCAGATAAATTGCCAGGATTTGGCAGACCATCGCAAGTCATATATCTAATCCACTGAAAATAATTATCCTATTATGTCACTGTTACATATTATTGTAAATTATATACAAATATATAACAAAATTTATAATTTAGTTTTATCTCTATATTTGTTAAACAAAAGTGATTTACCAAATATAAAATAGATATTAATTAAAAAATGTACATATAAACAAAAAGAATATGTACATTAATGAGAAATATATATATATAAGGCATAAATTACATTATTAACAAGAAATAAATTACATTATCTTATCATTAATTATAAATATACCAGAAAAAAGAAAGTATTTACATTTTCTTCTTCTTCGACAGTAATTAAATATTTCATGAATGCATTTTTGTAATCATGAAGTATAAATTGCGTCTTTTCTAGTTGAATTTTCCGCATTGCCGCTTCTCGTTCTTCAAGCAATATTTGTCTCTCTGTATTATACTTTTCTAATCGAATCTCTTCTTGCATATCTTTAATCATTTGCGTCCTTTGTTAAACAAATTAAATTAGTTCTGTGCCTTTTTATAATTAATTATAAATAATTTTACCTAATTCTCTCAGCTTCAGCAGCGGCGGACGCCGCTTGTTCTTTTTCTAATACTTTACGTGCTTTCTTTGTCATCGTTTCAATTCCTGAAGGTTTAGGCTAAATTGACCGAACCATGTACTTATTCTCCTCTTTTATAAAATTTTTATGTGAAAAATGTTTTGTGATTGGTACCTGCAAAATAAGACGTCCAATAGTTTAGCTAATATTTTATACTATGCTTATAATAATATTTTACAGTAGTTAAAACTTGATAAAATTGGGTAGAACAGCAAGAATAATTGTAAATTTATAAGAATAATTGTAAATTTATATACTTCAGATATAACTAATAGATACAAAAATACAATAAGAAACTTTTTTGCTATTATCTTAAGTAATGCTTTTGAAAGACAAAAACATCAGAATTATAATATTAATACAGTATAAAATAATATGTTTAAAATAAATTGTTAATATTATTCTTTTTATAATTTATAACATCTATTTTATATCTATTGTATAATGATAAAGCAAATATGAGTAATATGAATAACTTAAAATATTAAAAATATATATGCAAAAATATTCAAAATTTTTGATATAGCATTTAATACAGAATAGTAACTGTACAAGAATAAAAAAGATGATATGAATAAATGATTTTATGTTAAGAATGTATAATGTTAAATAAACAGAATTACCTGTTTTTCAATCCATTCATGTAACTGAAATAAATAAACATTTAAATGGAAATGTAATTTTTATTATTATAAAAAATGATTAAAATTCTAGTATATGTTTGTAAAATAGTGTTTCATATATATATTGATGTTATTATTATTATACATATTATTATATATAATATTATTTGTAAAAAAATATATTGTTTACATGTTCAATTATGAAATCATGTGCTGTTATTAAAATGGACTTAAAAATTAATTGATGAAACAATATCATATGTTAATTAAATATAGATTTTAAAAGAAAATTATTTACAAATATTATTTATAATAATAATTTAAAAAACTATATTAATATAAAGGAATAAAAATGATAAATTATGTTTAATTTTTTTCTTTTTTAATGAAATAATTAATATTTTGATTGAATCTAATTTTTATTTAAATAAACAGCCGATACAAAAACGTACTAATGAAGAGAGAGTGGGTGATACTCTTTGCAATTTTGGTAATTGAAATTGTGCAAAATCTTCATCTTCTTCATATTCATCATATACGATTTTAGTATCCGAAATAGAACCCAAAAAATCATTATTTTCAGATAATGATATTGTCTTGTCCTGTATTTTATTTCTAGTTCCATTCTTTCCCGCAAAAGTTACTTCTTTTGAAATTTTATTATTGCTGGGAGTGGAATTTCTAAAATGGACTTAAAAATTAATTGATGGAACAATATCATATGTTAATTAAATATAGATTTTAAAAGAAAATTATTTACAAATATTATTTATAATAATAATTTAAAAAATTATATTAATATAAAGGAATAAAAATGATAAATTATGTTTAATTTTTTCTTTTTTAATGAAATAATTAATATTTTGATTGAACCTAATTTTTTATTTTAAATAAACAGTCGATACGAAGACGTACTAATGAAGAGAGAGATAATAAATAGAAAAATTTCAATAAAGACAACAAATAAAAATCTTTATTTATCTTGTATTAAATTAATATTTAATGGAGATTAATTAAATTCCCGAAGAAGATAAAATTTATTTATAATGTTATAATACATAATACATTCTTGTGAAAATTATCGTTATATTACTTGGCTTTCGTACTTCATATCGAAAATATTCTCAGATTGAAAAGAGTTAAGCTAAGAGTATCAACGATAAAAGATAATACTTTGTTGTCGATTCCTTTTTTAAAATTTCATCCACATTGAGTAAATGCTGTATATTTTATACAATTACATAGAATAATTCATAAAAAATTTCACTGAAAAATGGATATAATATCTAAAAAACAAATTGATATAATATCTAAATACAATATAATATAGTAAAAAATTGTTATGCACACCAGAAATTATGCAAATTACTGTGAAAACTTTGAATTATTAAACATTAATTAGTTCTAAAAGCAAGGTTAAACAGCAATATGTCAAATATAACAAACAAGTATTAAAACATTTAAGAATCATAAACTATTAACAAAATATATAAAGTATGTGCGTATATTGTATATGAAAAGAAGAATCAAGTCAATATCGGACAATTATGACACTTTTCTCTAAATTAAAAAAAAGTAATTTTTAATTTCATTAACTTAACTTTTAATTAATTAATTATTATCCTAACTTTATAATTTACTTATATAATATATAAGTAAATTTTATATATATATGTAATATATATGTGTAATAATTACACATTATTATAATTATTATAATTAAACACTATACAAATTATATTTTGTTACATTTTTATGTTACACTTATATATTATTAGAATATATAGTAGAATAAGATTGAACGTATGTTACGTAAGATACGATCGAGTTCTATTCATATTCGAAATGACGTTTGATTATTTTGCAATAAATTTGTAATGATAATTTTGCTAATTAAATCAATGACACTGTCTATCTGAATAAAACGGAAATGATTGCAACTTTATTAATAAATTTTAAAGTTTAAAAAAATATACAATCTTTGCAACAATAGTTTATTTTATAATATAATGAGAAATATTAAATGGGATCAGGGATTACTTGTCTTATTCGCTTTTATATTTACTATTATTTAGTAAAGATAGTCATAGAACTCAACTTGTTGCAAACATAGTTACTCTTTTAAATTCAAATTAAAAAACTTGCTATCATTTCCGTTTTCCCACAATGACGTGAATGAATTTAATTAGCTGATTGCAAAATAATTAAAGTCATTTTGAATATATATAGCACGATTTATATTCACATATATAGCACGATTTATATTCACACGTTCATTAATACTTATTCAATACGTTCATTAGTACCTATCTAATCTATTTTATTTAAATTTTTTCACCGAAAAAATAATATCCCAATTTTAAATATAAGTTTTAGTATTTATATTTTCTATTAGATTATTGCGATTCATAATATCTTTATTTCATATTAATCGATAAGATGGAGACAGATCTGATCCAGTCAATTCCTTCATTTTATGCTGGACAAAGTATATTTTTGACGGGTGCGACAGGATTTTTAGGTAAAGTGTTTATCGAAAAGGTATTGCGATCTTGCCCAGATGTTCGTGAAATATTTCTGTTGATGCGTCCAAAAAAGGAGCAAAATATTAATGAACGACTCCAAAAAATATTAAACTTATCGGTAAGTTATTATATATAAAGAAAGCTTTTGTAACACGCATTTTTTTAAGATATCTTATAATACATCTAAATAAGAAAATTTTTTTTAAATGTTATTAAACAATTTGTAAATAATATAATAAGTGAAATATATTACATAAAATATTAATAAATTTCATTAAATGTTCTGTATGTTTAATGTAAACTTATTTTAAATGTTTTAAAAGTATTGCAATTATAATAATAAGAATTCTTTTCTAAATTATTTTATTATAGTTATATGAAAATTTGCGCGGAGAACAATCATCAAATTTCAAGAAGTTAATTCCTATTTTGGGTGATGCCAGTGAAAAAGGATTAGGTTTGTCGGATACAGATAGGCAAATGTTGATTGAAAGAGTGACTATAATAATTCACGCAGCAGCTAGTGTGAGATTTAATAACAGTTTAAAATATGCTATTTGTGTCAATACTAGATCAACGAGAGATATTTGTATTTTAGCTCAAAATATGAAGAACTTAATAGTAAGTCAAAAAGTGTTATTAATATAGCACATTTGTATATATGAGTACCTCATTATGCTAAACAGTATATTATATATAATATTTTATGCAATACTTTGTTTTAAGTTTCACATAAGTTTTTTCGAAAAATGTTATAGTGAGATATCTCTTTCAAGTTTAATAATAGCTTAAATATAATGAATTTGAGCGGATTTTGATATTATCAATTAATGTATCAATGTATCTATAACATAAGTCAGCTTTGCTTTCGTAATTATTTTTCTCATATATGGAAATTTTTCTCATATATGGAAAAGTGTATGAGATACAAATTTAAATAAATTGTCTTTTTTTATTAAAGGCATTAGTATATGTTAGTACTGCCTATGCACATGTGAATAATCCAGTGATAGAAGAAAAAGTGTATCCATCTGTAATTGATTGGCAAAAGATGATCGAAATAGCTGAATCATTGGATGAGCATACTTTAAACATTTTGACGGCTAAGTAAACAACATACAGAAATAAAATATATCATGCGCTTATAAATTTTAAATGTTAAATGTACTAAAATAATTATTTCTTTCTTTATTTATGTGTTCTCAATTAGTCGAATTATATTGGTTTCATACAGGATGTCCAAAAAAAATGGCCAAACAGTCATAGAGTAGATTAAACTGAGTCGAAAAGTCTTGTACTATTTTGCGATTTTTGCAATAGTTAACGAGTTATTCATTTATGAAAATAGTCAAATTACAAGCGCGCGGTGAGATATGAGCGCTCAGTGAGACACGCATTCGCCGTCGCTAAGCACGCGTGGAGCACGCTAGGCGTACGTAACGTACGTAGATGAAAGCGTAGCCATCATCGTATGTAATCAATAACATCACCGTACGGTCTTATCTCATCGTGCGCTTGCAATTTGATTATTTTCATAAATTAATTAACCCGGACTTTTCGACTCATTCTAATCTGCTCTATCTGCACAAAACCTCTTGGTCATTTTTTGGGACATCCTATATTTAAAGTTTACATATAACTTTTAAAATTACAGATGTCTGGATTATATTCCTAACACATATATTTTTTCGAAAATATTAGCGGAAAGTGTTATACAGACATATTCTTCATCCTTGCCTTGTGCTATCCTAAGACCTTCAATGGGTATATAACGTCCTTTAATTGTTAAATATATATTGTATTTTTTTAAATTTTATTTTCTTTAATAATATTTAAAATAAATAATTAAATAACTAGAATTAAATAATAATTATTTACATAAACGCATTGCCTTGCGCTATTGTAAGGTCTTTCTTAGATAGCTTTTTTTATTTGTTAGATGTATATTTTATTTTCTTTTTAATACATTCCTTCTGTTTTTTTTATAATATCTTAAAATAAAGAATTACTCGAATTAAATTACTGTTCATTTATATAAATAACAAATGTATTTTTTACTTCAGTATTCCCAACGTTGAGAGAACCAGTTCTAGGATGGATAGATAACATTTATCCAATAGGGCTTATGATTGGTGCAGGAAAAGGATTTATACGAGTATCCTATACTAGCAAACATGTTACAGGAAATATTGTACCTGTGAACAGTGTCGTCAAAGTTATATTAGTTGTAACATGGAAACTTGGATTATCCACATATAATATTAATTTATAAATATTTATACTAAAATAAGTACAGTATTATGCTACGCTTTCATCTACGTACGTTACGTACGCCTAGCGTGCTTAGCGACGGCGAACGCGTGTCTCACTGAGCGGTCATATCTTACCGCGCGCTTGCAATTTGACTATTTTAATCATAAATGAATAACTCGTTAACTATAGCAAAAATCGCAAAATAGTACAAGACTTTTCGACTCAGTTTAATCTACTCTATAACCGTTTGGCGATTTTTTTTGTACACTCTGTATGAAACCAATATAAGTCGACTAATTGAGAACACATAAATAAAGAAAGAAATAGTTATTTTAGTACATTTAACATTTAAAATTTATAAGCGCACGATATATTTTATTTTTGTATGTTGTTTACTTAGCCATCAAAATGTTTAAAGTATGCTCATCCAACGATTCAGCCATTTCGATCATCTTTTGCCAATCAATTACAGATGGATACACTTTTTCTTCTATCACTGGATTATTCACATGTGCATAGGCAGTACTAACATATACTAATGCCTTTAATAAAAAAGACAATTTATTTAAATTTGTATCTCATACACTTTTCCATATATGAGAAAAATTTCCATATATGAGAAAAATAATTACGAAAGCAAAGCTGACTTATGTTATAGATACATTGATACATTAATTGATAATATCAAAATCCTCTCAAATTCATTATATTTAAGCTATTATTAAACTTGAAAGAGGTATCTCACTATAATATTTTTAGAAAAAAACTTGTGTGATTAAAACAAAGTATTGCATAAAATATTATATATAACATACTGTTTAGCATAATGACGTATATACTCATATATACAAATGTGCTATATTAATAACACTTTTTGACTTACTATTAATTTCTTCATAGAGCTAAAATACAAATATCTCTCGTTGATTTAGTATTGACGCAAATAGCATATTTTAAACTGTTATCAAATTTCACACTAGCTGCTGCGTGAATTATTATAATCACTCTTTCAATCAACATTTGCCTGTCTGTATCCGACAAACTTAATCCTTTTTCACTGGCATCACCAAAAATAGGAATTAACTTCTTAAAATTTGATGATTGTTCTCCGCGCAAATTTTCATATAACTATAATAAAATAATTTAGAAAAAAATTCTTATTATTATAATTGCAATACTTTTAAAACATTTAAAATAAGTTTACAATAAATATACAGAACGTTTAATGAAATTTATTAATATTTTATGTAATATATTTCACTTATTATAGTATTTACAAATTGTTTAATAACATTTAAAAAAAAATTTTCTTATTTAGATGTATTATAAGATATCTTAAAGAAATGTGTGTTACAAAAACTTTCTTTATACCAAACTTACTGGTAATATTTTTTGGAGCCGTTCATTAATATTTTATCCCTTTTTTGAACGTATCAACAGAAATATTTCACGAACATCTGGGCAAGATCGCAATATCTTTTCGATAAACACTTTACCTAGAAATCCTGTCGCACCCGTCAAAAATATACTTTGTCCAGCGTAAAATGTAGGAATCGATTTGACAGGATCAATTGTCATTTTGTTTAATTGTAATTTTTAAATAATTTTTAAAATAAAATTATTGTAAACAATAATAATTTAATAACATATCACAAAATATAAAAGCTAAGACTTATATTTAAAGTTAATATAATTTTTGTTATCCATATAAAAATGTGGATAGTGTGAAATATGACTGAATATATGATACATAAAAATATAAGTCGACCTGCTTTTATACTCAAACTGACTTAAGATTTCTTTGAAATCAACAGTTAATTAAGTCTGTGACGTCATCTGTATGAATGCAACGGAAATGATAGCAAATTTTTTTAATTTGAGGTTAAAAGAATAAACATACACACGTGCAACAATAATTTAATTTTAATTTGATGAATCGCAGAAAAATTTCTTAAATATAGGTAACATCAAGGAATACTTTCGTTTCATTCGCTTTTTACTAATATGGCAGTAACTTAAAGATGTAACGCAAATATAATTTGAATATATAATGTTTAATATTATATTGAA